AGCAGAGCCCAGCACGCAAGATGGGAGCGGGTGTCCGGCACCCCAGATTGAACGGGATGCAGGGCCTCCCAGGAGCCCCGAGGCCAAGCAGCTGCCCACCGCTGTCCGATCCCAGGCTGGGCCCAGCGCCCACAAGCGACCTGCTCCGCCCCCCCTCCGTCCGCTGACTCTCCAGAACTCTTCCCGGCCGATCCAACAGGCACCCGGACTTTTGTCGGGACTTTTGGTGGCTTTTAAAGTGTTCTCTCACTCTGTCTAGTTCAGACCCTTCTGAGGCCCAGAAGACTGAGCAGGTGGGGAGCCGCAGGGCCAGGCCGTGCAGCTGCGTGCACTCACCACTGCCCCTCCGGCAGGCACCAGGCGGTGTCACCCAGTGTCAGCGTCCCAACCAGGCATCGAGGGGGGCAGAGTGGCCGGTGAGACCAGCCAGCGCAGGTTCCCCAGGGCAGGTGCCCCCGCACCGCTCGGAGTACCCGAGGACCTAGCTCACAGCCACAGCGCTCACCGACCCCTTCCCCAGGGCAGTCCGGTCACCTCCAGCACGGCCTAAAATAGTCCCGCCCTTTAAGCTGCTGCTTCTCCTCCCAGGACTTTGTGCTACACGAATGATCGGACACAGGCGATGGTATGACTGGGAAACAAACCGGAGTGCGTTCAGATGACCACCAAACGAGCAGCCATTAAATATCTAGTTGCCAAGTAAAAAATGAGTAAGGGGGTGTTCGTGTTTCCCTGAAGTGAGGAAGTCTGATATAAAACCACACACAGAGTAGGGTCCCATGTTTAAATGCTACCTGTGTAGCATGTGCAGAAACACACTAAACCTTAACAGCGGCTTCTTCCTGTGAGTGGCTTTGGTTTCTATTTTAAAATACTTTTTGTACTTTCCAAGTATTCTACAATGAATACACACCCCTATTAAGACAGAAAAGAAACAAAGGTTCTAAGATTACAAAGGTTACTAAGTTGTAACATTTCAGGAAAGCAACCATGCCTTGCCCTTAGAGGCGGCCCCTCAACCAGGCTGGAGCCCTAGACACACTG